TATTTATTTAATATATTTTTAATATATTATTATTTAATATATTATTACATGTTTTCAAAAATTAAACCACCAAACGCAGTTTCAGTTTTTTTTAAAACTGAAATCAATCTCTAAATAAAACTACCAAACGCATTTTTAGAAATAATTCAAAAATGAAACTAAAAACGTTTTCATTTTCATTTTCGTACAGAAAATAAAAACGTTTTGGAACCAATTCCAAACGCACCCGTAAGTTTCAAAGAAGCAAATATCCATCACAATTCACAAGTACAAACTTAAGAAAACCCATGTGATCAAAAAGAAAGGTCGAGCAAGCAGAATGGAGGCCATAAAAGTTTAAGCTTAAAGTTAAACTCCTTTAAAACTCCAATATTCTTTATATATAGGCCTCATTAAAAACTCCCGTTAGCAAAACTAGGCCTCGTTCATTTCACTAATTTGAGTTTTCAGTTTTAGATTTTTACAGTCAAAAGCTTCAGAAAATATCACATCTAACTTTTTCTGTTACAGTTAAAAGCTCTCAGAAAATGTCATGTCTCAATTCGAATTGAAAAATCGAATCTGCAAAGTAAACGAGACCTTAGTGGGAAAATCTAGGAAAAAAAAGAGGTCCATAGTACTTTCATTTACAGATGATGAGAAGTAGCTTAAGCAATGTAGGTTTTAAGCAAGCTCAACAATAAATTAAGCTAAAGTACTACGTTTTTAAGGCAATATCACAAATTTGGCCTGTTTTGTTCATAAATTTGAAGAGAGAATTTTAAATAGAAATTTAAATTGGTACGAGAGAGAACAAAGTGGGAAAATAGTTTGAATTGTGATTCTCATTTATATATGCGCCCTGCATCAAATGCAAATATGCAAACGATGGAGTAAAAACATGGCACATATATCGAAAAAAAAATATATAGAGAGAAAGTCAGAAAGATTATTAGCTAGCTAGTTAAATTCAGTCCCATATAATGGTAATTTAATAGTATAAGAAATGGCAATATAATGTTATAATTAGAAATGCTAAATATGAATTCTTATAAATATAGAGAGAAAGATGGCTAGCTGGTTAGTTGAATTTAGTCCCATTCTAATTATATATCGATTATTTATAGCCAAGTACGGGTCTACCAAGCGAACGGGGTAGGCCTATTCTGCTGAATAATTAAACATTATTATGTCTGCAGGCAAACTTTATTATTCAAAAGGGTTATTGTCAGCTTTAAAATTTTCTCTCATGGCCCAGGTGTAAGATCATAAGCCAAGCATTATTAATCACTAGTCTAATATAAAAAATAAAATAAAAAACCTAGTCAGTATATAAATAAGAGACAACACGTACACGTTTTCCAAACAAAGTTAATTTCATAGCAATTTACTATCTAATTAATCTCTCCCATCACAGAAGCTAATTTCATCATATCGCAGAAGATCATCATCAAGAAATTATACTTGATCATCATGAGTAGTAAAGTAGAAGAAGAGTTGAGAAATTTCTCCACTGTATGGATTTTCGTCCTGGCATCACTCTGCTATTGTCACTTCATCGCCAAAATCATCAAACATGGTATAACAAGGTTCGTACTGATTCTCCCTGTGCTAATTCTCTTCTTTGTCTTGCCCCTAAAACTCACGACCATCTGTCTCGGAGGCCCAACTTCTTTCTTCATCGCTTGGCTCGCCACCTTCAAACTCATCCTCTTCTCCTTCGGTAAAGGCCCTCTTTCCTCCGACCCTCCTCACTCTATGGCACGCTTCATCTCCTTTGCTTGTTTCCCCGTCAAACTAGAAGAAAACCCAACAAATTCTACTACAAACGGAGATGATCCAAATTACCCAACTCCTGAAAAACCCGTCAAAAAACCCGCCCAAAAATCTCTTCATAGTTACCTACTCAAGGGCATAATTTTCTCCTCCATGTTCTTCGTTTACCAGAACAAATCCTCCCTTCATCCCAAGCTCTTCTTGCTTATGTACTCCGTATACACCTACACCAGCTTGGAGGTCATGCTCGCAATCGTCGCGGCTATAGTCCGAGCCTACCTCGGGGTCGAGCTCGAGCCCCAGTTCGACGACCCTTACATGGCGACATCGGTTCAGGACTTTTGGAGCAGGAGGTGGAACATTATGGTCTCCAAAGTGCTGCGTCCGACAGTGTACGTCCCCGTACGGACGGTGTCGAAGCACGTGGTGGGGAACAATTGGGCGGCGATACCAGGGGTGGTGGCGGTGTTCATCGTGTCGGGGATAATGCACGAGTGGATTTTCTACATCATCGGAAGGTCGAAGCCGACGGGGGAGATCGGGCTCTTCTTCGTCCTGCAAGGCGTGTGTATGGCGTTGGAGATCATCGTGAAGAGGATGGCCCACGGAAAGTGGAGGCTGCCGCCGAGGGTGTCGGGCACGATGGCGGTGTCGTTCGTGCTCGTTACCGCAGTCTGGCTGTTCCTGCCGGGCATGATGAGGTACAATTCCGATGTCATGGCATACAGAGAGATGGTCGGCCTCATTAGGTACGTCAAGACCCTTGGCTCTCGTCTTCGATTGATTGAAAAGGGCTCTAATTATTCCGTCTTCTCCTCTTTGCATAACCGAATATGATCGTGCTATGTATATATACGCGTATATATGCACGTATTTATGCGTGTATATATATATATGCATATATATGCACATGTATCGATCGATAATAAATGAATTATCTGCTGTATTGCAATTCATGACTCGGCAGGACGTGTGAGAGAGGATGAGTATTTTGCTTCTTTTTTTTTTTTTTTGATTAGTTTTAGCTAGCTATTGCAGGGATGGTATGTATTGATCATGTAACCTTTTTATCATTTTGAAGAAACATGGACCAATGTAATGCCACTATTTTCTATTTCCTAAAGTTTCGGGTAGTATTTTTTTTTTTTTTTTTCCTGAATTGCAGTATGTTTTGGGTTCATATTTTCCATGAGAATATAACTTGTAATAGAAGGTCAGTACTCAGCAGAAAGATCCGTTATTTGCTGAAATTATTATCGTGTCCCATTGGAAAAGGTCCTTTTTGAAAAAGTTTGTGGAGCAAGTGATAATTTATTGATTTACACGGACCCCTAATTACATGAACCCACCCCCCCAAAGCAAAGTCATGAGCACATTTTCATCACTTTGCTTTCGAGTGGCCCCCCATGAAAAGGAAAAAAATAATAATAATTTTAAAAAAAGAATTGCTAGTAGTACTAGAGCGCACATATTCAATATTGTTGGGGAATATTGTTCCCCACCATGAGAAATTTGAAATCGGAAGAAACGTCGGACCTATTTGGAGTTGATTTTGTTTTTGTTTTTGACGTTTTTGAGAAAGAAAAAATAAAAATGAGAGAGAAACGGCGTTGACCTACAATTAAAGACAAAAAAAATGAAATGAAAACGATTTTTTGATTTAGTGTAAAATGAAAGAGAAATGAAAAATGACTTTTAGTCATTTTTTTTATTTTTTTATTTCCGTTTTTTCCTCTCTCGAGCACACAGAGAGAGACATTAGTAGATTTTTCTATACTGAAAATAATCTCTTGATAGAATTAATAAACACATTTTTAAAAATAATTTTTGTCTGAGATTGAAAACATTTTCATGTAAAAAAATAAAATCATTTTAAAACGAATTCTAAATATAGTCGTCGTGTCGTTACCCTTTTTGTTGGTTTTATTTATTTATTTTTTTCTCCTATTTTGTTACTGTATATAGGCGGAGTCGGGCAAGATCCAATATATGATCAAACTAAAACAGAACCACTCAGCCGAAAAAGAAAAGGAAAATACTTAATATATTGTAAAGCATGAACATGAACAGAACTGTATGGTATATGATCGTGAGCAGAGCCTATTCTCCTAGGTAAATATATTGTAAAGCATCTTTTCATGTAATAAAGTACCACTATATATAGTCTATAAATCAGTTTGTATACGTGCATCAAAGTTTAATGCCACACGTCATAACTGTTCCATGCAATACATGAAGGTTCCTATTCTTAATTATTACATCTTATTAATTAGTTGATGGAATTTGTTTATACAATTCATTGAGGGACATAATACGTCCCTTTTTTTTTTTTGGCTTGATCGACTAGTATTATAGCGAAAATATTTTATACCACCATAAAGCACGAATATTATGTGTATATCCAACTCTTACCTGAATCTGCACTCTCTCTGTGAGCTCCTCCAAACAGGCAAAACCAACCACCAATTACAAGTGACAATCGCCAAACCAACCGTCAAAATAATCGACACGGCCGGGGGCACCGGGCCCCACCCTCTTTGCCGAGCTAATTGCTTGAGTCCAGCCTCCATGACCATGCACAATCCATGCAACACAAAGAACCAAGCCATTTCCCACGTGGGTTTCTTCCCGCACGTAATGTAATAGAGGACCATCTCGTGCATGATGCCGGACACGACCAATGTCGTGATAATCGCAACCACTTTGGCAGGGCCAAACCCGATTACACCCATCAATGTGTCTCGGGTCGGGTCGTAAACCGATTGCCTCAATATGTCCGAGGACATTCGGTTCCACCTTCTTCCCCAAAAGTCTTGCAAAGATGTGGCAAAATATGGGTGGTTTAATAGTGGGACTAGCTCATACCGGACCATAGTCCCAAAAACATAGAGCCAGGCTAACGCGGTTAGACCGTACAAAAATAATGTAAATTTTGGTGAATTATTTTCTTTGTAGATAGCATAGAAAAGGATTAATATTGGAAGCACGGTTCCTAGGAGTAATTTTGTGAGAGCTATCAAGGGTTGATTTGGAGAAGGTGAAATATTTTCCTTTATTTTGAGTGGAAAGACAGAAACTAGGGCAAAATCAAAGAAATTTTTGTGGGGGAAAAATAGAGGGCCTCGGTCGAAGGAGAAGAGGAGGAGCTTGAACGACGTGATCCATGCGATGAAGAAAGACGAAATTCCTCTGCCAAAGGCAGATGGGAAATGCCAAGGGAGAATAGAAAATAGGTAGAAGATAGGAAGGAGAAATAAGAGCCGCAATATGCCTTTTGGGATTTTTGTGACAAAGAAATAACAATAACCTAATGAACCCAATAATATCAGAAGAACTGGATGCATTGGATTCTTAGCTTCATCCTCCATTTTGTTTTTAAACCTTCTCTTTCTTAATTACTCCTTTCTCTCTCACACGCACACTAGTTATTGATCATTTCATCTGACTTAGTAAAAAGGGCAGTGGTGAAATTTCTTGGAGAAGACGATGGTTAAAAGTGTCAATTCAGTTTCAAGCGTTTCTAGTTGTTGCTTCTTCATGTTCATGGTGATCCCCGGGGATATACGTTGAGGCTATTCTAAACAATTTTATCATTCAAAGGATGTGAGTACAACGCCCCTTGTGGATGCCATAAAAAAAATGTAGAAAGCGATATTAATTTATAAAGAAAATAAGTGATATAAAATTACATGACACGAAAATATATAGTTGAATAGAAAAATAAAGTAGCAAAAAAATTTGACAAACTACAAATTGTACCAAAGCTCCAACAACCAGCTAACTTCCTTAAACAAAGAAAAAAAAAAAAAAAAAGGGAGAACTACATAGACACCGATTGTGTCCATTATGTTTTGCCTGAAGTAGCAGAGTTAATAACCCTAAAAAAAAAAAAAAAAAAAAAAGTAGCAGGGTTAATTGCGTTGATGCACCTTAATTTATTAGGCCCCGTTCATTTCATTGATTTGAGTTTAGAATTCAAGTTTTGTTACAGTAAAAAGTTCTCAAAAACAGTCACATCTAACTTTTTTATTACAGTAAAAAACTTTCACATAAATTCACATATCAACTCGAATTAAAAATTTAAATCAGCGAACTAAGAGGGTATTTGACAACTTACAATCTTGATAAAAAGGATGTTAAAATTTAAAATTTATTATAATTATAGTCCAATAGCTAACGGCCTTCACTTAATTGACGGAAAATACCCAAAATTTTTACACAAGTGTAATTGTTAGTTGACAAGTTGGGCCTTTGACTCGTAGAATTTTAACATTTAAAACTTTGGTTATTCACCCATTATTGACTGGACTGTATCGTTAAGAATTATAATATTCGAGGTCTACAATAGCAAATTAAAAGTTTGTGTAACGTGTAAGTGACGATAACGTGTAAGTGACGATAGATTCATGAGTGCAATTTATCTAAAATAGTAATAGTGAGAGACACTATTTCATGACTGGCCAAAACATTTTTATATCAGCATCTCAGAAAAAATTAGAAAAATTATGGTTACAAGGGTGTCAAAAATTACATTTTTTAACTGCAAAAAGTAGTACATTTTGACGTTAAATATTTTCTTTAACTGCAAAAATTATCCTCCCTACGTCAACCAAATTCAAAACCAAACTTGATCAATTTCCAACAAGAATATCACATAACAAATTTCAAACAAACTCACACTTAGGTTCAAACTAAATTTCAGACCCATTTCAAGTTGAACTCGACATACATTTTAGCAAATTCAAACCCAATTGAGACCTAATATAAATTTATGTCAAAGGAAGAAGTATATGCGGTAAAGTATCCGATCCGGTAGTTCATGTTATATTAAATACGACCAAAATTAATGAAAAATATGCAAAATTTACAAAATCCGATAACAGTTTAAATAGAACCTTACGCATAGGATATTCTTTTTCACTCAATACATTACCGTTGAATTCTCACAAATAAAAACCTAAATAAGCTCTTAATCTCCCATTAAAAAAAAAAGCTTTCAATCTGCACTCAAATGTGAGTGAAATAACTACTATTTTCACCTAAAACTGGAGTAATTACAAGAAACCCAAAAAAAAAAAAAAAAATTAAATGGTCCCAAAAATTTTGAAAAGAATAACAGATGGGCCGGGCTACATAAGAGTGTGTAATATGGCCCAGTTTGTCAAAAGAGGTGTATTCTAAACGGAGCCCAATATGAAGCAGATAGGCCAGACTAAATGAGGATGTAATGTGGGCCAGTTTACGACGAAAGGAGTATAACCCAATATGAAACATGAAGCTGACGTGGTAGGATCTTAGTCCATTCCGGCGAACCAACAAAAACCTCACAGGGGAGAAGCTTCCGACTTTGAAGAAGGAAGACGACGATCAGCCAGAGAGGTATTTACACTCTTCTTTTAAAAAAATAAATAAATTCTTTTAATTGTTTTTGTCCTTTAGGCATATAAGCTGTTGGAAAACCTAATTGCAGTTTTCGAGAATTCATGGAAGAAATTTCGATTTTGCAGATCAGATAATTCGATCTTTTGATTTGATTTCCTGAAGAAATTTTCGGAATCGAATAGATAAAAGCACGATGGGTTTTGTCGTCACAACCCTAATTTTTGCAGTGGTCGGCGTGATTGCTTCGCTTCTGGTGAGAATCTGTTGCAGCAGAGGCGCATCTACCAATTTGTATGTTCTTCATTCTCGTTTTATGCTTTTCTTCTTTTTTTTTTCTTTTCCCTTGAAATGCTCAGATTTTTTCTGTGGATCTTAAGCAAAGATCAAGTATTTCTCCATTAATACAGTTAACAAGTGGTTTTTCATTCCCTTACTTCGATTTTATTGTTTTTTTCCCCCCTTTCATTGAGCTGATCAGATTGTTAATTGAACTTGATTTCCGTAAAGAAAACAAAAGGTGATTTTACCTTTAATTAATGTTAAATGGATGGGTATAGTTGGAGTGATTGTAGGCGTTTTTAGGATTTGAGGTGAATTCTGTTGTATTTGTAAAGCATGACATGTAGATTGTTGGAAAAGAATAAGAAATTTGACTAAATCGAATGTAATGACCATCGAAATTAGGATCCGCGAATGGAAGTGGTAGTATTAGTATGAGAAGGGCTTAGCATTTTTGTTTTCGATGATCTCGATTTGTCTTTGTGAGTATGATTCTTACTTGTATGTTAATTATTGATTAGTTCTGTTTACTTTCTGTCAAAGAAAATATGAACATCCAGTGTTATAGGCTGTGAAATGTGAATGTTGCTCATGAGACATGCCAATGGTTCTCAATTCTACTTTTGGTGTGAAATGGATTAGAAAAGGCCTCTGTTTCCTTAAAGATTTTCGAGCATCTAATACTACTAGTTATATCCCAAATATTATTCTGACAATTGAGCTTGTGATATCCATAGAGGGATAATCTCATTTTTGTTCTTTCGCAGGCTTCACCTGACATTGGTTGTCACAGCAGTAGTGTGTTCTTGGATGATGTAAGTTATTCCCTTTTCTTTTTGTTTATATCAGTTCCTTTTCGCCCTCTTTGTAAAATTCATTAGTTTGGATCTGCGTCTATTGGTGCCACTTAGTTGTTACAGCTGACAAAATTGGAATGAACAAAACATATGCGCATAAATGATACGCATATATACTACCAAATTGAGTGATACCTTTTCTTTTCTGCTATTGCCAACAATTGAATGATACACTAATCAAATCTCCAAATAGAAACATTCCTTGGTATTTACGGGTTGCTCAAGTATGACATAAAATTTCTATTTCTTCCATTACCGGGAAAAAGCATAATTTTTTGGATCCAACCGTGTTGGAATTATGAATTGTATTTGTTGGAAATGACTCCCAATATAACGTTCCTACCGTTGCATCATCTTTTTCATTGAGACTCGATTCCAAAACCTAAGTCTCTCCTTTTTTGGTGTATTCTTGTTCAATCTATACTTTCCAAAGTTTCTGGACTTGTCTTAATCTCTGTTCAACTGTGTGTTTCTGTTACATTTAACTCCATAGTTCCCTGCTGTAAGGTTATTAACAAACAGTTACTTTTCGTATTTGTAGGTGGGCAATTGTTTACCTTGCACAGATGAAACCACTAATCGTTCCGATTCTTAGCGAAGAAGAGTAGGATGAATATTGAAGACTTTTATTTCAAGGTTACGTATGAGCAACATGTTTGTGCAAACTCCAGGTCACCCTTTATTGTTTCAAACTCCATGCGGGGGTTTTAGGTGTGTACCTTTGGAAGAGAATTGAATTTACCATATAAATGAAGCTTGGTTTTTTTTATATTTTTCACGTCAGTTGTCTTTCTTTGTTCATTCATTCTTGGGAACAAGTTGATCCGGTGATGTTGATCCACCAGGGTGTATGTAATATGTACCTTAGTTTCGATTTAAGTGAAATAAAAGGTTGATCCTGGAGTTTTGTCGTTGCTCATTAGTGGATGATCAGATGATCCTAGGTCATATCATTTTAAGTATCTCTAAACCTCAGAGGTATTTAAAATAATAAAGATACAAGTGGGCGAACCTTTTTCTTTCTGGTAAATATACAAAATAAGCGAACACTTACACCTAAATTCAGCTTGCTACCCACAGAAAATTAAATTAGCTGCTATTCATAGCAAATGGCATCGCGACACGTGTTATATGAAGGAAAAGAATAAAAGAAAAACTAGTTCTCATTTTGTTATGTGAACATAGTGGTCATTTTGTTTGTCTGTTTTCGGAGAGAGGAGGCTGGCTGAGAGCCATGAGATTGGGTTATGGTTGGGCCATGAATCATGAGTGAGTGGAAATTTTCTATGAAAAAATTGGGGAATTTACAAGTGATGGATCTGGATTTTCACTTATTATTTTTTTTATTAATATCCTTATAATATAGTTATTTGATTAAAAAGAGTGTTGATTTAAGAATAATGGGTAAAAATTCAGACTTATAAACTCTAAGAGGTATTTGTCACTTTTCTCAAATTTTCTTCAGACAAATAGACCCCCCAAGATAAAAGACTATTGTTTTGGGCCTTTTGGCCGTAGGTGCTCCTTGTAATCTGTAAAGACAGACAGAGTAGAAGTCCACGATGAGATAGAAAAGTTGTGCAAACCAAGAAATTGCATTCAATTTCATTAAATGAGACCACTATATGAAGCATCATCTTATGATCATCCTCTCTGGTCTCTACTCTCTGGTCTCTTTTCTGTGTGCATTTGCAGAAGTATCTATAAAATACCGAACTTACCACCAAAGAAGAAATTAACAAGCTGAGGAAAAAAGCTCAAACGAGAAACATACCATAACAAGGGCCAATTTCGAGTCACAAAAGAGATGAAGAAGAGACCATCTGCAGCTACTATTGTGCCAATACTGGTGCTGGTATTGTGGCTGATGATGTCCTCGGCACTGGCATGCCCATATGACGGCAGTAAATGCAAGGATTGCATAGTTAAGCAGATGAAGTGTGGCTGCCCGTCTTGTGTGCCGGTGCTGCGCTGCATGGCGCGGTGCCTGTGGAGTGGCAACTCGAGGGCCGACTGCAATCAGTCCTGTGATTGCGGCAACAACGGCAACCCGAAGCTCTCTGATTGCAAGAAATGCATGTCCCGGTGCAAGTGCAGCTGCATGGCTTATTAAGCACTTCCCCATTTCATGTGTTTTGATGAGTATGATTCTGTTTTTTCACCTGTTTTTTTGGCAGACTTGGTGCACAACTACAATTTATTTTACAATCTTTGTAAGGGTTTTGATATCTTATCTAGATTGCGTTTATCTTTAAGATCAAATATAGCTGTTTCTTACGCGCGCTATAGAATATATCCAAGGCATACTCGTACAAAATGGCTAGTCAAGGATTCAAGAAGATATAACAGACAAAGAACATTGAATACCATTATGAAAAAGGGAACGCCATGGTGAAATAATGCCAAATAGAGGACCAGCCCTGTGTAATCAAACAGTCCGAGCAAATAAAGGAGACAAATTATTTATTATTTGTTGAACTTCACAAGTAAATGAATATTAGAACATAGTTCATTTACACTTTAGACGTTTTATCACTTATTTGACAAAGAATCCTACAGCTTACATCTTAAATCTGTACTTCATTCTCAAGAAATTCAAAAAACAAATAAATAAATCAACACCTCTTAGGATTATTCCATGTTTAATGAAGCTAAGTTGAAAAAAAATCACATCAACATTGTACAAGATCTTTCTTTTTGGAATTTAAATTTCTAACTCCTCTCTGTATCAGCAAGGATCTTCACTTTGAAGCTCCTCATTTGTTTTGCTATTGGAAAAGATTCTTCTTAGTCTGCAAGAATGTCTTGTTATCAGTTTAAAGGTAGAGGGATGATCCCGTGCTACGAGGGAAAACTGGTCAGAATACTCCTCAACTCCTTCAACCAACAACTGCCAAATCAAGGCTCCAGCCCCAGCTTGCCTCTTCTTTGCCGACTCGTAGATTCTATCATATACAGTCTTTAATAGAAAATTCACATCTTCTGTTTTCTTATTCATACGTAAAGAAAATCCAACTTCGGTAAACAGAACCGGTTTCTTCAGCACATTCTCCGCATCACTCATGTGAGAGTCCACCCAGTGAGAAAGAAAGTTTGCTTTCGCCTCTAAATCACCATGTCGAATCCTTCAACATAAAGAAGAGATATGAGAAAACAAAACGAGATTCGGTTATTAGACCAATCAAGTTCTCACTAACCAGCTATCAGGGTAAGCATGAACAGAAGCAAAATCAATGTTGTTGATTGCTGAATTTTGAATGAAGTCTGATCCAAGCAAGGCTCCCCATTCCCCAGGATTCACAGAAGATCGTTGTGTCGATTTCAGGCCATAAAACCCCTCGAGTCCAACAGTCACAAGATGCTTCTTATCCAGGCTCTTTACATACGCAGCCATCTCTGTGATCCATGCCTGACAGATCTCAGCGAGATATTAACCACATTAAACTCTTAAGCACATTAATCTTGGTACTAGTTTGCATTTTTCTTTTCTTTTTTGCACCGAGGAAATGGAATTGTTTTCTATATTGTGTGTGTGAAGCCTAATTATCATTGCCCGACAAAGAGTTAGTACGATTATTCTTCATCATAGTGAAGTTATGAAGCAACTAAAAACAAACGTAGCTGAACCACTATAAATTTTGTTTGTGCTTTCTTTAATTTTCCCCCTTTACATTATTGCTCTCTGGATTTAATATATAACATTCTATACCTGAAGAACAGGAGCCGATGAATTCGACGAACATCTGGGCTCATTCATGAGCTCCCAGGCAAAGATAGCTGGTTCCTCGGAATATTTAACTCGACTAAGTGAATTCTTTCTCGTTAAAATTGCCTGCAAAAACGAAAAAACAGAGCAAGTAGAAGCACATTCAACATCCTGAATAATGCGAAACTGCAGCATTTGTGATTCCACATTCTCAATCTTCTCACAAAACAAAAAATAAAACACGAGCTTGAAGAACCAGAAGATGATTTTCTATCAAGTAACAAACTTGTACTCGTACCAAACCAGTCCAAAAGCTATCAACTTTGTTCAACAACAGAATCGAGTTTAGTAATAAAACCAATTTCTCTTTTTGTCACAAATTAGCAAATTACCTTGACATAAGCCTTGTAGTAATCTTTAATGGTGGGGTGTGAGAAAAACGAATCATCAAAGGAAGAGACATTATTAATTCCAGCCTCTTCTGCCCATCTGACATACTGCGTTTTCCCACCAAATGCACTCAGATTATTCACCAGACTCAGAATCAGCCTTATCCTGTTCTTCCGCGCTTCAACAATCACGTAATCCAAGGCCTACGAACATAAACAATTCATTCCTCTTAAACCCACATCAATCAATCAAAAACCAAAACCATTTTTTTTTTTATATTTATTTGACTAACCCGAAAGACCCTTTCATTGAAGACGCCAGGAGAGGTTTGCAAAGCACTGGGACCATCTCCATCACTGAAAGCCCAAGTCCTGCAAACGCTCAGACCCATTTTTGCCCCCATTTTCAGCGTCTTCGAGACCTTGGACCGGGACGAAGAGCCCCAAATGCTCTTCTCCATTAGCCAGTAGGAGTTCCAGCCGTTGACGTACATGGCTGAATTGTTGTCGTTTCTGTCGCCGACGACGATGAAGTGGGTGGAGTTTGTGGCGACGAAGCCCATCTTGGGTTGCCATAGGACTGGGAAGGAGAGCTCGTCGTTGAAGTTGAGGTAGAGAAGGGCTGAGATGGAGAGAATGCCCACAAGAGGGTACAGAATTCTCTCTCTCCACTCGGGCTCCATTCTCTCTCTCCTCTTTGTTTGTTTGGCGCACGTTGGTCGAGGTTTGTGTTTACTGGTTTGGTGGTGCGAATTGCGCACCCCTCTGACGTGTGGCTGTTTCCAAGCGAGTTATTGTTGCCGACGAGTGGAAGTTATCGGGTGTAGATGCTACACTGGAACATGAATGGATTTAGCCATTTGTGATGTGCTACGTGTACACTGAGAATTAGACCGTGCTGTATGAAGCATTAGGATCCAGATCCTCTGTCACCTCTTCCTGTCCCTTTCTCTGTCTCCTACCAACAACATGTTGACATGTCATCCATTAATTAAAAACAGACCTTATTTATTTCACTAATTTAAATTTTTAATTTTAATTTTATTACAGTTAAAAATTTTTATAAAAAATTTCATTTAATTTTTTTAGTATAGTTAAAAATTATCGTAGGATCTATTTAGTTCATTAATTTGAGTTTTTAATTTAAATTGAGATGTAATTTTATGTAAAAAAATTTTACAATAATAAAAAAATTAAATGTGATTATTTATGAAAAAAAATTTCTATAATAAAATTCAAATTTTAAATTTAAATCAGTAAAATGAATAAAGATTAATAAAGTTCAAAAAAGGCCAGAATTCCTCCGTTAAAATAACGTTTTTTCTTCTGCTTGTTCTCTCTCTCTCTTTCATCACTCTCTCCAAGTGAAACTCCCTCTTCCCGGACCCCCACAAAGGAGGCACAAGAAAGATAGAAAAAGATCCAAAAAATTTTACAGCGAGAAATCTTGTTACAGAGTTATTTGATTGGTGGATTCGTACCCTGATTTAAATTATGATTCGTGATTCACTACAGTATTTTTTCTTCCAAAAAATACACGTAAATTGAAAATAATTCTGAATTATGATTCTGAATTCATGAACAAAAAACGATAAATTTTTATAGCAATTAGAAATTATTGAGTGAATGTTTGATTTATAAATTTAAAATTATAATTTAAAATTATAATTTAAAATTATTTTTAATTTATATGTATTTTTTATAAAAAAAATATTATAATAAATCACGAATTAAAATTTAAATTATAATACGAATCTATCAATTACACACTGATTATCTTCTATCAATGTAAAAAGGCTCCTCAATTTCATATCATCTCTAACGAAATCAAACTCAGACAGATTCGTTGAAAGGGTATTGCTCGCGTAGGAGAATTTGGGGCCTGGAGATGTGCTCAGATTGATTATTGAACATGATGATACATATGGCACTTCTCTACGCCCAAAACAAAAAAAAAAAGAAAAAAAAAAAAAGGAAACAAAATCCCAAGATGATGTTTGGAGTTTATTTTCATGTTAGTATTGATTTTCTGGAAATTTCTAATATTTTAAGAAATATATAAAAAGAAAAAAAACAAAGGATTAGTTATGTCGTTTGTTAGATCTAATGTTACATCTGATATTTCAGATGATCTTAGAACACTGTCTGGAATATGGCTTGATTAATTAAGATCCGGGTTTCTTAGTATTCAAATTGTTCGTGTAGAATAAAGTACAGAAATTAAAAGAACACACAATATGATATCGCAGTTTGGTGCGCACACCTACTCTGCGGGGCCACGCTCATACAATAAACAGTTCACTGTGTTCCATAAATTATAGACACCAGACGGACTTATTCACTCAAGGACTCACTCCTAGACAACGACGCCGCTATGACGAATCTCCACAGTGATTTGTTTAGCGTGCACCACACGCCTTCTAAACTGCACGGTGAACTCCCTTCGATCGAAATAACTTCCTCCCGAAAGCAACAAATTCCTCTCCCGAAAGACGATCTCAATAGCACACTAGGCTAACAAAAACTCACAGACTCTTTCTGAAAATATTCAATTAAACCCCCTTAGATTATGAGCTGCGATAAAACCTTTAAATAAAGATTCTCCTTGTTCTCTCCACGTTAAGCATCTTTTCAAATCAAACTAAAACTAGATCTCCTTTTGAATCCGGATTATGCACAATCTCTTCATGTTATCTCTTTGCTTCACCTTTTCGGTATGTGCATTTTGAATTTCAAAACTGATTTCAACATACATCATGTAATCTTCATGTTCACTTTAATATGTTTGCTCCACGTCAATGCTCATTAAAAACATCCACGCATATATATATATATATATATATATATATATATATATATCGAAGTTTACTTGCAAACTTTCACTCGTTTGCTCCTTATCTCAATCTGCGTCACAATCAAATTTAAATGCCTAACAATATATATCCAAAACTTTCATATACTCCAAGCTATTACTCTATCTCATATCCTCATAAATAGCAATCAGATTATGCCACTAGAAATCAAATCCGAATATGCCTTTGAATTCAAATATGAATCTGCCTTATATTCATTTGACCAAGACCTTATCTTTATCTCTCCAAATCTCAACCAATGTCTTATCTTCATTTGACAAAGTCTTTATCATTATCTCTCCAAATCTCAACTCAACAAAATCTGTAACTTTAACTTCAAATGTGATTCCAAATCTTCTTTTTGCAATACGAAATCTTCTTGAACCTGTTTTTTTTTTAATTTTTGCAAGATTGCCAATAAATTACCAACTAATAAAAATACTTAACATCGTTTTATCTAAATAAAAAGGTTTAAGTATAATCGATAGCCCTAAATTCTTCATTTATTTTTGTTTTCTATTGGCAACGACAGAATATATACTTTTTAAGATAGAAATAACACAAGTTAATATTTAATTTATATAGACCAAGTTTTATAACCGTTAAATCTGTAAGTACGTAAAAATTAAAAAATACTCGTTAAAAAAATTTAACCTATTGATCTCTAATCTATATCTATATAATAGAAATGAGAAAGTATGAGCTTATTCTTTTAGAGTAAAACTCAAAAAAAGTTTAAACTCAAGTTAAAATTTTATTTAAGTTTATGTTCGTTTGTAAAATTTAAGTTTTAACTTGAGTTTGAGGTTAAAATCTGAGTTTAAATTTTTCTATCAACTCAAGTTCTTAAACTCAAACTCAAGTTAATGAACATTATTTTTTCTATTCTTAAAACGTCATAACTTTTCGTTTTAATTTCAATTGAGATGATTTTTTGTTCTATGCGTTCACAACGAAGAGACGAATAAAACTTCACCCATATATCCTATTAAATTTTTTCATGATCATTGAGTTTTTATTAAAATACTATAAATACAAATTTAAATTTTGACCCACTCAAATAGATTCTCAATTCAAATCATAACTCAAATGTGCACATCCAAATACAAACTCAAGTTACAACTTCAACTCAAAATCTATACTCAAATCACCATAACTCAAAAATGCAACTGAACAAGCCATATATTTCTCAAATAATATTCTTGCAAAATTTTTAGTGGTATTCTAGATAACCTATAAACCAATCCCCCTTTTCATGAGGGGGGAAAAAAAACTATGAACACTTATAGTTCTTTTGTTGTACTTTTTTTAGACTTTTTTCAATAGACCAATTTATCAGTAAGATCAATTTTTTACCATTATATATTGTCAAAATTATATCATATTAAAAAAATATTTATAAAATAGACAGTTTTTAATATAAATCTGACGGTTAAAAAGTAAAAAAATTACTGACAGTTCATTTTTTTCAATTTTATTAGAGAAACTCCATTTTTTTTCACCAGAAAAGAAATTTTGCGAATTAAAGAGAATAAAAAGGAGAGTGACAGAACATGGGCATTTTACAGGAACACCGCAAGTTTTAAATTTAGATTGATAAATGCCAACAAACATAAATTATTGCACATAATGCCACAATAAAGATACTTAAAAATCTTAAAATCCATAAAAATCACAAATATATACATGAAAAACCATAAAACTCTCTCAAAATTCAATATACTGAATTAAATATACAAAAGTACAAGTATAATTTTGCTCAGTACATAAATTTAAATGATGTCACTGTGATATATTTTATAATAGTTTTAATACTCATGGTAAAAGTCAATCAAACCTTAGAAATCGTGGCATATTGCCCGGATATATCATAGAACATTGGTGTTTATTCCCTATTAGTTTCATCTAAAACTAAAAGCCTCCATTTAGTTAGCTGGTTCGAATTTTATTGATTTGAATTTTTTTTTGTGAGCATAAAAATTCAAACTGTGTGATTTAAATTACAATTCGAATTGACATTTGAATGTGTAGTTACAATTTTAATTTAAACATGGAATAAAATTTGAATTTATGTTTGGTAGTGTGAAAAATAAAAAGAGTGAACACCTTTTTACTATTCAAAAATGATTTGAATGATTGAATTTAAAGGAGAAGTTGAACTCTAAGGGCCTTTTTGGTTCATGCGTTTAAACTAATTATTCTTGATTTTAACATTTGAAATTTAAATTTTTTGTGAGAAGAAAATAATGTAGCAGAATCAAAATCATGAGTTTAAATACAGTAAACAAATTAGTCTTAAAGTTTAACTCAATTCAAATAGTGAATATAATTAAGACTGCTTACTTATTAGATAAGAATGTAAACTATACTTACTGTTTAAATTGAGTTAAATTAATCTAGTGAAATAAACAGGAATTAAAATGACATATTATAAATAATCTAAAGGAGAGTTCGGTGTCACTCTTCACTTTTTTCCTTTCGGTAAAGGGGTTGTTAAGAACTTGTTCTTTTAGAGTTTAACTTGAGTATAATTCTTGAGTTGAATTTGAGTTATAACTTGAGTTGAACTTGTAACTTGAGTTTGTGTTTGATTGTGTACATTTGAGTTATGGTTTGAGATAAGAATCTTTTTGAGTTTGTATTTGAGTGAGTCAAAACTTAAATTTGTATTTAGATAGTATTTTAATAAAAACTCAATGCTGATGAAAAATTTTAATAGGGTATATGGGTTGAGTTTTATTCGTCTTTTCGTTGTCAACGCATAGAAAAAAAATCATCTCAATAAGAATTAAAACGAAAAAGTTATAACATTTTTAAGAGTAGAAAAAATAATGTTCATTAATTTGAGTTCGAGTTTCTGAACTCGAGTTGAAGGAAAAACTTGAACTCGAGTTTTAATCCTAAACTCGAGT